TTAAACCACCCGATTTGTGGTATTTTGGTATGGTAGCCCAAGCAGGCCAATATACCTAGATAGAAGTGTATTACTTATATCTTTTAAAAAATATCCAAAGTTGTTAAAAAAGAGGTACTGCTTGATTTCTGCCTTATATGACTGGGAACAAGCTGGCCCTGGTCCTTGAACTACAGGAAAAAGGGAATGAATTAACACAGTCTGAGTGTCTTTTAGCCAGACCCTTTACAGAAATCCCATGAGAAGAGTACTAATGTTCACACTTGACAGGTGGAAAACCGAGGCTCAGAAAACACGAAATCCTTGATCCAAAATCACCAGCTAGGACGCAGCAGAGCTGGGAATGGGGTCCAGGTCTATCTGATCACAATACAACTAAGCCCTTTTCTCCTCATACCACTGCCTCCATATAACAGGTGCTGAAATGGTCACAGACACAGGTGGGGTGGGGGTTGGTGACATCCTCCAGCCTGTAAGGATCACTCAGGGGAGTTTGCTTCCAAGTTCTGAGCAGATAGATGATTCTCCTGAGAGTTAGAAGGTCCCCGAAGAAATTCATTGTAAAAAATCCTAATAGTAATGCATCTAATTTCTACATCTGTTACATCAGGGCCTGCTGATTGAGGAAGCTACAGAGACCAGAGAAATGCCATAAACATGAGGCCAACCAGGTATGAACCCACAGGATGTGGTGGAGACTGTGGTGAAGCCCAGAGCATGAGTTCCACCCTATAGTGACAGCTGCTCCTGGCTCTAGCCAATAGCTATTCTGGGTTTTCAAGAACCTGGGAATCCAGATATTTGTTTTGAAATAGCTCATTTTAAAATTTATTGATAAATTTTAAAAAATCAGGCATAACAAAATATATTTGTGGATTGGATCTAAGCCCTTACGTTGCTAGTTTGCAGTCTCTGCTTTAGATAATTTTTGCCACAGTCCTGGAGGCAGTATGCTAGTTAGCACAACCCTGTAACAGCAAACCAGGTCCTCGATCAGGGCTGGCTCATCTACTCTCCCTCCCCATCCACCTCTTAAAGCTGTAGAATCCTTTCAAGTGTCACCAGCATAGTCTGTTCTCAAAGGTCTGGGCCTCTCTGCTCCCATGCCATGACCATCTGTTCATGGATACTTTGTTGGAAGGTCTGGAGTTTGCACAGTTTTCATCTGCACAGTTTGATGAAACAACAGGGGGCTTGCAGGTCCTTCCTGCCAGGGAAGGGCAGCACAGACGCTGGGTATTGACTCAAGGACCAGACCATGGGACTGGGTGCTTCACCTGAAGATCTAAAGATCTTCAGGTTGGAACAGACAAACTTGCTTTATGAATTTCTCTTGACTAATCAGAGGAAGTTGGGGGGGAGAGTGGAGGTTACAGTTTGATATAAGGAAAAGTTTCAAACAAGCAGGAAGAAGCCCAGCAGAGGGTAGTAAACTTCCTGTTCCTTAAAAAGAACGAGAGGTTGAATGGCCTTCATTCAGGGACTCCTGGAGGCAACCTCTGGATTAGACACAGGCTGGAAAGAGGCCTCCACTCAAGGCTCAAACATTAGCCCCTCAAAAGCAGGGAGCCTGGGTCAAGGGGTGAGAAGAGCAGGGGGAGTGAGCTAATTTAGGGATCGGCTGTGCTAATCACTCATAAAGGTGATTTGGTTAAACACAAACTATTGTTTGTGCATAAAATAATTTCCGTGTTGGTCTCCACTAGTTTGAAAGCTCAGTGAGGTCAGTGGCTGGGCTACCTGTGGAGCTCGTATTATAGGGCCTGGCATACTATAGTAACTGCCCAGGAAATATTTGTTGACTTAAATGTAAATAGCTGAAATGAGCATTAATCTCATGTCTCTCACTGGTAATTTTTGTGCACTGTAGGATAACCAGGCATCCTTTTGTGCCCTTTGAAGCATTTTTGTCAGGTGTTCAAATTATCCATTTTTTCTTGTTTTCTCAAGTTCTAATTCCTTTTCATCCAGCTTTTATTTGTACTTTTTTTTTTTTTGTAAAAAAAAAAAATGTTTTGGCAAAACATTTAACGTATCCTAAATGGCCCATGAAAAGGGGTTCGTTAAATAATCCAGGAACTCTCTCCCACCAAAGCCCACCCATCCACCAGTTAAGAGCCGCTTATCTGAACAGATCCCAACAAAACACCAACAGCATGGTTTCTGAGTGGGCGGAATTATGGGTGTTCTCCATGAATTACTTTTTGTTTGGCTGTATCCAACTTTTTTTTTTTCCTGTTCTGAGCATCTATGACTTTTGAGTAAGAAAAATGAATCAACAGGAAGTGGATTGTTTCTAAATTCTATTTTAAATCTCTAAACCATTGTAGCTTTATGTAATTGGCAATGTTTTTGAGAAAACTGCAAATTGAAAAATAGAGTGAATGCTTCCAATTACCAGTTAGCAAGGAAGCTGAGGCCCAAAGAAGTAAAGTGATTTACCTGTCCCAGGGTACACAGCCAGGCAGGCGCAAAACTCAGGCCCTGACTTGCAGACTGGTGTTCTTTCCTTCTATTACTCCTTTCCAGTCTACTCTGAACCCCTTACTGTCTTCCGTCTAAGTCAGCGGTGCAGGGGTATCTCAGGCATTTATGGCCCCACAGATTGTACACTCCATTCCACTGACATGATCTGTGTGGACTCTAGAGTGGAGAGAGCCACTAGACCAGGCAGGCAACCTCCACACATGCCTTTGTTTATTGGAAAACCACAGCAGGCTGTAGACCCAATGCACAGAACTGCTGGCAGAAGTCCTGTTCCAGGCACCAGGGCCAGGAGCTGTTTACCACTTTTGGGAGTCTGCTATTGGGTGATCTGCAAAGGCTGCAGGAACACCTATGCTACTTCGGCCACATGGGACATTTTCTTGGGAGTATCCAGGTATTACTGACAAGTCCTCCATGGATACTTCCTCCAGGTTGGCTCCAGCTTGCTCTGAGCCAAGTGAAAGGATGCAGACACCTCTCCAGGAGTCCTTTACATGTTGAGCTGGGCTTAGGACTGGGCTCCACTCCTTTTCCATTTGACAGGACATAGTGGAGGGAGCTGAACACTTTCATGCTGCACCAGAGCATATGCCAGCAGCTCCAGGCTCCGCTAAAGCCCCAGGGGCTCGGCTCAGCTATGCCAGCCTGGAAAATTCACAGGGTAAATGGACCACAGGTTTCACAGCTGAGAAATGAGCATGAAGATTTCTTTCTGGTGTTTGGGCAGATGAGTCCATGGTGGGTGTTGTGGGTCAATGTAGGAAACTTTTTTTTTGAGCCCTGGTCTGTGGTGAGGAGTATCTCCGGGCTGTGATGATTCTTGGAGGTGGCTCCTGGGTCTGGCGTCCACTGGTAGAACGTGCTTTGAAAGGGGTTGGGGGCTCGATCCCCAGTCAGGGATGTGCAGGAGGCAGCCGATCAATGATTCTCTCATCACTGATGTTTCTATCTTTCTCCCTCTCCCTTGCTCTCTCTGAAATCAATAAAGATATATTTAAAAAATAAATAAATAAGAAAATAAATCTTTAATGGTTTTTCAAAACCCCCCAAAATAATACATGGTCATTATACAAATTTAAATAATATATAAAGTAAGAAGTAAAAGTAACTCCGTTCTCCAGAAGAGGTACAAAGTAAAATTAGGTATCATTTTTCAAACAACCAGATTGGCAAGTTTAAAAAGAATGGCAATATCCAGCACTGGCAAGGGTGTAGGCCAGGGTTTGCCAACCACGGTACTATTGACACAATTCTTTGTTGTGGACGGACTGTCCTGTTTATTGAAAGATGTTTAGCAGCATCCCTGGCCTCTACCCACTAGATAGCAATAGCATCTCCACCGCTACCTCCCAGGCTGTGGCAAGTAAATATGTCTCCAGGCACTGCCAAATGTCTACCTCAAACACCATTGGTGTGAATGGAATCTGGCAGTTTGATATACCTATCAAATATTAAAATTTGTGTCACCAGCAACTTTACTTCAAAATACATTTACAAAAGTAGAAACTTGTTTGACATGCATTTTCATGCAGCACCATTGGTAACATTTAAAAAAATTGGTAATGATCCAAATGACATCTGTTCCTAGCCTATATATACGCCGAGATATAGAAAAGAATTAAATAGCTCTGATGTAGAGAGCTTTCAAGATAAAACTGTTGGGGGGGCGGAGAAAAGGTACAGAACAGTGTAGAGGACATTTTTGTAAAATCTAAAGAACAAAGTTGTATGAGCAAGTGCATGTGTGAATATATATATATATTGAAAAATATATACATAGAAACTGATACATATATTTAAATCCTCACTGAGGATATACTTTTATTGATTTTTAGAGAGAGGGGAAGGGGGAGAGAGAGAAACATCGATGTGAGAACGAAACATTGATTGGTTGCCTCCCATACACGATGGGGGATCAAACCTGCAAACTAGTTATGTGCCCTGACCTGGAATCGAACCTGAAACCTTTTTGGTGTATGGGATGACCCTCTAACAACGGAGCCATCTGGCCAGGGAAGTATATACATATATTTTTAAAGCCTGGCAGGAGGTGTACTAAACCACAAACACTGGTGATCTGTCTGTGAGCAAGACGGAGGGCTGCAGGTGGGTAGCATAGAGAACTTTCCATTTCTACCTTAAATACTTCAGCATCACTTGCATCATTTTACAACAAGGACACTGTAAAATCATAAAGATGAAAATACAAAGGAGAAAAGAAAGGAGAAAGGGAAAGAAGCCCTCATTGCAGTCCTGCCAGCCCTTTCCTGGAGTGAGTAAACTTGGCTTAAGGGGTTCCTTGTGCCACACACTTTCAAATTCTCGAGGCAGCTTCATATACACCACCTCAGCAGATCCTCAAAGCAATTCTCCTAAGTTGGCAGAGAGGATCATATAGGGAAACTGAGACTCAGAGAGTGCAGTGACTTGCCCAGGAGCCAACGAGCAGAAGTAGGTGGCCCAGGAACAAGCAAGAGGGAGCCCAGGTCTCTGGAGTCCCAGACCTCCCACTTGCACCCCAAATGAATGGGAGCAGGTCCAGCCACACAGGCTCTTATAACCACGGCCTAAATGCTTGTCCCGCTCAAGTACTCCTATATGTGGTTTCGACTCCTTCAGCTCCTCTTAGGTTCTTATTCCTTCAGCCAAAGCTGGCATTCATCTCCCAAAGCAATTCTTATCCTTCTGGCTCTCCTTTGCCAAAGGCATTGTGCTTGGGAAAAGCAGGGACTGGAGATGTGACCCTGTCGCCCCTCAGCTCAACAAGTGGCTTCACCTCTCTGTGCTTCATCTGTAAAATGGAGGTAAACGTACTAAATTCCGAGTTGTTTTAAGAATCAAAGCAATTATGCGTTTGAATGCATTTTGTGAATTACAAAGGACTTATAAACATTAGTTAATTTTAACAAAATAAAGTTCTCTTTCTATGGGGTTAGAATCACACTGGTAAGATAACTGCAAGGGGAATACATTGAATGGGAATCTGAGTGTGAAATATGACACAAAGATTGGCAATATATGTTGAGAAGGCCATACACACAGTTCAGATAATGGGTCAGTCCATCTAAGCTCGTGTCTTAACTGAGCCAGGTTCCTTTAGAACCTATTACTGGGCTTTGGGACCTGTGCTGTCACGAGGGAGAGATGCCACAATGCTAAACACCTTCAGGCAGGGGGAACAGGGAAATAAGGAAACCTGAAGTATTATCAGCACCATGGATTATATTTCTACTCACAGGAAAATGGACTGGACAAGAAGTTAATATGTCTATCCAGGGTTTAGCAGACTGCTCAGTTACATCTATTAACATTATAAAAAGTAATGAATGCAGAAGCACCCTGGGCATGGGACCATCTCCTTCCATTCCAGTGAAATGTGGCAACATCCACCTTGTAAAGGAATGGAAGCAGCAAAGGACAGGCTTAAAAAAGCTTACCTCACTGCTGGACAGGGTGTGGTGAAGTGGGCTCTGAGTGCGTGAATGGTCGATAACCCTTTTTTTGCAATTCACCAGCGTGTTCTGGAGACTTTAAACAGTTCATACTTTTTCACCCAGGACTTGCAGTGTAAAATTCTAAGAAAACAATCAGACTCACAGTCAGATGTATATAAATATACATACACTTATGTATATATATATATATATATACACACACACACACACACAAAAGGATTTTCAGCTCAGATTTATTATAGCAAACACACACAAACACATACATGCACACACAAGCATGCATACGCACAACTGTCCAAAAATAGAGAAATGGTTAATTACAGAAGAAATTATGAATGTGTTTAAATGATGGACTATTACAGCCATTATAATCATGTTTTTGAGGGATATTTTGTGACATTGAAAATGTTTACAATAGTTAATGACAAAAAGCAGAATATAAAACTGTCTAGTTTGTCAGCAATTAAAATATACACATTTAAGTAATAAAAATAGCAGCTAACATTTATTGACTGCTCACTATGAGCCAGGCAGTGTCCTGTCACATTATTCACTCAGTTCTCTCCAAGCCCTCTGAGATGGGTGCTTTTGTTACTCCGTTTTTCAGAGGAGTAAATGGAGGCACAGGGGCTTGGGCAGAGTGTCCAAGGCCACACAGGGGTGGGTGTGGTGAGGCAGGACCTCTAACACAGCCAGTCTGGCTCTCAGGAGCTCTGTAACACAAGCCAGTCTGGCTCTCAGGAACTCTGCTAGGGCAAAATGCCAACAGTTGTCATCGCCAAGTGGTGGGGCTAAAGGACAATTTTCTTTATACTTTCCAAATTTTCTATAGAGATTTCTTTTGTTAAAATTACTTTTTATTATAAAAACAATATATTAACAGGTTCAAAGTATTTCCAAAGTTTGGGGGTATTAAATAACCTACGAGGCAGACAGATGGGAGTTGGTGAATCAAATGCAATTTGATTTAATTATACTGAAACGGGCCAGGAAAGGCCAGAAGACTAGGCTTAGAGAGAAAGATAACTTGTTTGATTCCGAACACATTGCATTTCACCAGGTGTTTGTGGGACATCCACATAGAGACGACCAGACATGGGACAGAGAAGACTTATGGGCTGGAGACCCAGATGTGGTGTCAATAGCAAGCAGATACCACTAAAGCTGTGGAAGGCACTTATCATTTCTGCCTGCCCTTCCCTCTGCCTCTTCCTCTGGGTAATAGCAACCCAATTTTTCCTTTGGAGAAGTACGTCACCCATTCAATGTGGCCTTGGTGAGATAGTCAAAGTGCCCCACCATCCAAGGGTGGGCACATCTGTCAAGCTAAAGGAGAACACTTCTTGAGATCAAAAGCAATGTATTTTGTTGCTGATAATTCCTGATTCCTAGTAAGCCTGTAGCTCCCCAGCCATTTAATGAATGGCTTTTGCTGCTCAGGAAGCCACTGCTCAGTTCTGAGTTTGAAATTTGGTTTTCCTGAGTCTACAGTGAGATAAGTCTTAAATCTGGCTTTGTTGAAGGGAAAAAAGGTTTCCTAATTTCCAAACTCTTGTTTTTGCAGATCAAGAGCACAACCTGGGGGTAAGAAGTCCCCATGCAACAAGAAGGGACAAAGACCTTCTGGCCCCGCCCAGGAGAAAAATCAGGACAAAAGTTTCGATGCAAGTGTTCTTGACCACCTTCCTCTAAGGTAAAATCGTCTGTGTGGGGCTCAAAAGCCCTAGCCAGGCTTGGAGAATGCTGATGCCCCATCCCCCGAGCAGAGCTGAGGGAGCCCCACACTGACCGTGCCATAGCACCAAGTTGGCACCTAAGCTATAAGAGTGTAAGAGTAGTCCTGAGTGATAACAGGGTGGACAACAGAGTCCCTTCCTTTGACCTGTGTGCTGTGGGTAATTTGGAAGGGCACACGCGCCCCCATGAGGAGTTTGTAGATGTGCTAAGTGCACTGATAGATGAGGAAAGGCCAGAAGACAAGCTGTCAGGGCTGTGGCCCACGAGGATCTCATGACTGGATATACTGGCAATTGTCATGATTCTGCTCAGGAACTGAATCAAGTCAGCCCCATCTTGCTGGGTTCCACCAGCATCCATAATGCCTGGGCACAAGTCTAAAGCCAGTCACAAGGCAGCTATAAGACCAGCAAAGGGTGGGGAACAGCATCTGAACCACAAAGCTCATCCACTGTCCTCTCCTATCCAGATGCAGGAAGAATGGAAAGAAAAGGGGGAATGGATAAAACTTTGAAATACTGAATACGCAAAATGGTCCTGTAAACCTGAAGAGATTGAAACACCTCTTAAAATTGGAGAATGGAAGTCTGAGTACAAGATGAGATCAGTGGAGACACAGAAAGTTGCATTGATTTTGTACCTCTGTGTAGTAGTGGGTAAAATCTGACCCTGCCATGGGGGCCAATCAGAGCTTCTCTCCTGGGAACCCGAACCTCAAACAGAGGGCCAAGGAAGATAAAAATGTGTGAAGCGAATCTCTCTGATGGCAATGCCCAGAGAGGCTGCCTGTGGAAGGCTCTGGTCTCCTGTCTTAAGGCCTGGTTGCTCAGCATTCCCTCATGTTGAGTAAGATTTCTGATTTCCTGCCAGTAAATTCCTTTTCCACTCAAGCAAGTCAGGGTAGAACTTCTCCATTCTTTGCCACAGGACCATCCAGAAAGTGAATGTGACAGGAGAAAAGCGGCAAGGTGAGGCCCCTGAGGACCAGCAGATGGGCAGAAGAGGAGCCTTAGGAGAAGACTGCAAAAGATAAGCCGAGAGGATGTTCCTGGCACAGAGGCAACAGAAGCCGGGAGGAGGAGTTCAGGAGGAGGCCACGTCCAGTGTCAGACCATGCTCAGAGCTCAATTAATGTAAGAACCGAGAAAGGGCCACTGAATTCAGCAACAAAACCTCACTCATCACCTTGGGAAGAAGTGTTGCAGTGGGGATGGAAGTCAGGGAGCAGCGGACTGAAGAGTGAGAATTGAAGAAGTGGAGATACTATGGTTAGTTATAAAAGGGAGAAAAGGACAGGAGCTTGGGGGAATCTGGGTAGGAGGGGGCTTTGTGGGTTTGGGGTTGCAGGGTTTTTTTCCTTTTTTTTTAAAGATGAGAGAAAACATGGTGTGCTTGCATGTATGGAGAAGATGGTGGGAGTTTCCTGAGAAGGTGGGAGAGATGGGAACCAAAGTGATGTTAGAGTAGGGACTGATCTTAGAGGGAAGGGGGAAAGAATGGCTGTAGAGATAGGCAAAGACGAAAGGACGCAGAACAAGATCTCATATCCAATGAATTCTGAGGACACAGGTGCACCTTTCTGGTGAAACTTTTCCTTTCTCCCTCAGGCAGAATTAGTTGCTCTTGAATGAGATGTAACTGTCAACATTTGAGTTGGCAGACTGGTTTCGAGCACAATGCAGGGCAAGGAAAGAATTATTGGGAGTTAGGCTGAGCCAGGAAACCATGATACTACAGTTCAAATGTAGACTAAGTTGAAGACTCTTCTCAAGACACAGCTTAATTCAAATTAAAAAACAAACATAAAACACACCAAAGCCAGCCATTGTGAAACTGGCAGATATAAGTATGCTCAACAGCTTTAGAGCAGGCGCTCTTAAAACTGTTGAGTGTTGTTGCTTTGCATGGGTGATACACTGTCAGGATTCAAAAATCAGAACACAGGTCCACATTAGGAAGTTGGGCTGCCCCTGCCCTACCTCCACCATTCTCTGAAACACTTCTCTTAGTGTCCTGTATATCTTTTCACTGTTTCTTTATGCAGACACAATCAATACAAATATATATTCTTAGCTTGCATTTGCTTTTTTCACTTATTATATCTTACAGATCTTTCCTCAGGCCACAAAGAGTGCCTTTTTTTCTAGCTACATAGTATTTCAGTGTGTGGCTGCACCAGTTTATGTGCCCAGGCTCCTACAGATGGACGAACACCTGGGTTGTTTCCAATCTTTTGCTATTGCAACCAATGCTGCAATGGATAACCTTTTACACAAGTCATTGCATATGTGTAAAATTTCATCTACAGGGTGGGTGCCAGACTTGTCATTTGGATAAATATTGTCATTTCACAATCCCACCAGCAATATCTGAAAATGCCTGTTGCCTATTGCCCTACCCCGTACTTCCAATCCCACTGTGTGCACTGTCACATTTGGGGTTACTGCCAACCTGATAGGTTAAAATTAGTATCTCAGTGCACTCAACAGGCATTTTATCTTTTGAAGACAGAGACTGAGCATCTTTTCATGTTGAAGGGCCATTTGTAATTTTTTTTCTGTGAAGCATGTGTTCATGCCCTTTGCTCATTTCCTCTATTCTGCTGCTCCAAGTTCTTAGCCTGGGGTCTGTGGCTTTCTCAGAGGGGCTCGTGATTCCGACAAGGTCAATAACTACGGGGGGAAAGAATAGCTCAACCCCAACCTAATGCGTGTCTGTGGCTTACACACAAAGATCTGTTTTAAGCTTTTAACTTTTAATCAAAGTTTAATATACACACAGAAAAAAGTACATATACTATGTGTACACCTTGTGGACTGAACACCCTCCTATGAGCAACATCAGATCAAGAAACAGAGTGTTACCAGCACCCCTGAAGCCCTGCTCAATACTCCCTTCCAGTCCTTACCACTTACAGATTTTCTACTGTAGCTTTAATCCTTGATTCTATTTTTTAGCCTAACACTTTCCTGATGTCATACAGTTTACACTACAAAGTTCAAATGAATGAAAATCTGAAAGAAGGAAAGACCCTGGGTCTTTAACTTTTGAAAACCCACTGTAAAGGGCCTTATCACAGTTAAGGAAAGAGAATCTACAATCCTAGGACTCCCTCTGCAGGTGATCAGTAACTACCAGGAAAAGCCTCCCATTCCTTCTTGGAGCTCTGAGACCAGGAATGAAGTTGCTGCAGACTTAATCCAAACCAGTGCAGAGGGATATGGCATTTATCAAGTCATTTATCAAGGCACCCCAAAGTCTTCATTCATTCCCCACTCTATGACTCAACATTTCAGAAAAGCAACTGTCAAATAACAGATCATAATAGCTTTGGGGCAATGAAGAGAATGCCAGGAAAGTACAGTTAATCTCTTCCTCAACTTTCACTGATTTCCCCCCAAAACAAGAGACCATTATAAAAGGCCCTGCTACTAAAATCACTGTCAAAGGAGTCAAGAGACCCCAGTTATGGTTCTAAAAAGCCAGGCGACAATTGTAATTATTTGCTGAGATGATCAACTGACTTATTGATGGGCTCACTCATTCAATACATATGGTGGCAGACCCTGTGCCAGGTACCAGGGACACAAGATGCAGCCTTTGATATGATGGAGTAAGTGAAGTGCTATGGGAGCACACAGTATAGGGTCATTTAACCTACACAGAGAGAACAGGAGGGAGGGAAAGTTGGGAGAAAAATGTAACATAATTCTTGCCCTCCAGAAGCTTAGACTCCAACTGGAGACACAAGAAATGTATGGGCAAACGGCTAAAAAAATAACTTGAGGCTCCTGAAGAAATCCCAAGTGACGTGTTTCTGGAGTCCTGGAGATGAGGAGGAGTCTGGGCTGACAAAGTTGTAGGTGGTAGACAGAGGAGCTAGAGGCTCTTCAGTTGTGAAATTCATTTGGTGGCCACCAAGTGGAATCCATAATAGGAGAGAGTGGGAAGGGTGATCACCACCAAGGGTAGGTCCTTAGGGTTGTAAGTCCAACAACTCGACTGTGTCAGTACCCAGAGCTGATCAAACTCACGGGGATGAACTTAATCTATGTTGATTGATGACCTACAAACCAGATGCCAATTAATCTGCAGAAGGGAAGATATCTTTCTCACAAGTAGAATGCTTGTGCTTGCCTTCTAGGGTTCCCCCCTTATATCTTTCCCCACTATTCCCCACCCTCTCATTGTGGGCCCTCCCCACTCCTATGGTTTCAACAGCCACCTACATGCTGACTCCAAATCTCTATTTCCAGCCTGAATCTCTCACTTGACTTTCAGACTCATGTATCTTCCTGCTCTGTGGATACCACCACACAGCTACCCCATAGCTCTCAAGTTCAATGTGTCCAAAGTGAGCTAGTCACTTAAAGGCATCTCATCATAAGGAGGCAGTGGGAGCACAGACTCTAGCCAGACTACCTAGGTTCCAATTCTAGCTCCACCACTTACTAGCTGTATAAACTCAGCCAAGTTACTTTACTTTAGTTTCCTCATTTGGAAAATGAAGATGATAATGGTAATCTCATAAGACTGTTGTGAGGGTTAGAATGATGTCTGACACACAGTAAGAACTATAAAGGTACTATCTTTTACTATTATCGTCCACTTAAATGTTGTTTTTCATCTGCTCTGTCAGCTGGGTTCAGTAGTTACATTAGAAATAGGCAACAATACCCATTTAGTTGATCAAACTAGAAAGCAAACTGTCATTGTCCACTTTCTCCCACTGCTCCTTCTGTATACAGTTTCTCACCAAAGCCTGATCTATACAATTTTCTTTTTTAAAAATATCTTTATTGATTTCAGAGAGAGGAAAGGAGAGGGAGAGAGATAGGAACATCAATGATTAGAGTCACTGATCTGCTGCCTCCTGCACGCCCCCGAATGGGGACCCAGCCCGCAACCCAGGCACGCGCCCTGACCGGGGATCGAACTCCCATCGCCTGGATCCTAGGTCAACGCTCAATCGCTGAGCCATGCCCGGCCGTATACAATTTTCAATGTTAATTTGTTCTCCATTCCTACAGCCACCTGCTCTTGAGAGCACTGCCACCTCAGGCCTGGATCACTGTGCCATCCAGGTGGAAAACAGAGTCATCTTTCTAAAGTAAAATGGTCCTTTCTCTTCTCATCTATAGCCTCCATGGTTTTAGAATAAATCCCTTGGCATGGCCTTTAAAACCCTTCATAACCTGACTCCTGCTTTCATTTGCACTTCAAACTCCTTGTGTCCAAAACTATACTCTCTCTACAAACCTGGTTTTCTGGATTTTCCTTTTTAGGGAATGGTGCCACCTACTGACCTCCCAAGGGTTCCTGCCTTCCAAACACTCCCTGAGTAATAAACCACATTCTCAGAAAGCATCTAACTTCATGATGGAGATACGCTTTCATGAAGCACTTTAAAACATTTGGGTTTTAGTATTTAACGCCATAATGGGTAGAAATAAGGTAAAATGAAGAATTCACCAAAATTATACTTAGTACCTACCAACTTCCAGGAATTCATTAATCTAGATACAGTCCTTGCCCTCAAGGATGTGTTTTATCTGAAGAAATATTTTGAAATGATAGCTTAAAAACACATATTTGATCTTGATGCAAGTCACTGGGCAACTTCTGAGGGAAAAAAGCATCATATTTTCCTTTTTTATTCTTTTCTAAGCAATGTTGAGAGATGGACAGCAGTGGATGGACATGCCTTGAGAGATTAAATTGTGATCTGTCACTTATTAGCACTGTGAGACACAGGACAAGGGGAGCCAGAACAAGTTATCTAATCTCTGAGTCCCAGTCATCCTCATCTGTAGCGCATGTAAAATGACAGGATTATTAAATGAGAAAACATGTGCATAGCTGCTGCACAGTAGAGGGCAGCCATTATTATTAACATCATTACGTTTTATGTTGCAACTTTACCATGAACAGTTATTCTTTCATCCCCTGTCAGTTGAGCCTTTGGAATGAACAGGAGAATTTTAAAAGTTTTACCCAGGCCCCATTACATGCTTTATGTTTGACTACCTTATACAATGACCTGTCGATTCCACTCTCAGACATGGGTCAGGCATTCCAAGCTCTGGCTGTTATTAAGTTGGATATGCTAAACTATTTTCGGCATCCTATCTAGTTACGTGACTACATCTAAGTATTGGGGAGTGGAGGTGGGAGGGTCCAGTCTGAGTTCAGGCAACAACTCTCACCAGAGTCGGAAGGAGCCAGAACCAACTCTAGCCAATTCTACTGAGGACAGCCATTCTTTCCCACAAAGCTCAGGGAAGTGAAGACGTGGAGCTGGGGCATGGTGAGTGAGGAGAGACGCACGGCTAGATCCGCAGAATCAGTCCCAGTGACGGAGGGGCTGGCAGCTGTCGCGCAGCTCACCCCTTCCCTGCCCGCCATCGGAGCAACCATCAGAATCATAAAAATGGGAAAATCCTTAAAAATCACCTATTTAGGTGAACTGCCTAAAACTTTTCGCAAAATTTAGTGCATTTCTCTTCGAAAGAGTCTATTATTTCTCACCAGATTCTTAAAGGAGTCCATGACTGAAAAAAACGAAATTTGCTGTTAAGATTCTTCACATAACAGACGAAGAAACTGAGGCGGAGAGAGGTAAAAGCTGTTGCCTCAAGTCAAACCACAGGGGCACTCAAGCGAAGGCTTTTCAGTTTCTTTTCCTGTCTCAGATGCGCGGCCCCGGCCCTGTCCGATGCCGTCTCGCTTCTCTGCAGGCCCCGAAAGACCCCGGAGGCGAGGGCTGGTGTCGAGCCCTGGAGATGTGGCAGGCGGTCCGGATTCTAACACCGAGGACGCAAGCCAAGCGCTCTGGGGGCTCCGTAGCCGCGAAGACTCCCCACCCTGGCCTCACCACGAGGAATTCCGTAGCCTTGGCGACTCCGGGTAGAGCTCCAAGCACAGCGAACCCCGCGAAGCAGAGGCGGCCGGGCAACTGTGGAGAACGACGCCTACTCGCTCACCTGACAGAGGAGGAAGTAGGCGCGCCCCAAAATCCGGTCCAGAGCGAGCCCACTGCGCACGGAGGAGGGAGCAAAGAGAATAACAGGAAATGACGTAGGGCGCACGTGCTTCTGAGAGGGACGGGTGCGCGGCGTTTGAGAGGCGCGGCCGCCGCTCCGCACCTGCGCAGTCGCCGCTGGCGGCGCTGTCGAGTCACTGGGGCGGGAGGAGCATAAACAGAGGGCGGGGCGCGTGCCCGAGTGACGCAGGCGCAGTGCGACTCGGAGGCGCGGGCTGCCCCCTCCGCGGGTTTGGATCCGGGTCAGTCAGGCTCCGCGATCCGGGACCGACGACCTGAACCGACGGCACTGGGTAACTGGAGAGTCCCTGTAGCGAGGAGGTGAGAGTCCTGACAGGGAGGGGCCGCGGCACCGCGTCTCGGGCCCCGAGCCCGACC